GCCTAAGATACAAGCAGAAAACAATACAGTTTAACTCTGTTTCTGACCAGTACTCTGCCAATGGTATGTCTAAGATACAAGCAGAAAAACAATACAGTTTAACTCTGTTTCTGACCAGTACTCTGCCAATGGTATGTCTAAGATACAAGCAGAAAAACAATACAGTTTAACTCTGTTTCTGACCAGTACTCTGCCAATGGTATGTCTAAGATACAAGCAGAAAAACAATACAGTTTAACTCTGTTTCTGACCAGTACTCTGCCAATGGTATGTCTAAGATACAAGCAGAAAAACAATACAGTTTAACTCTGTTTCTGACCAGTACTCTGCCAATGGTATGCCTAAGATACATTATGTACAAGCAGAAAAAAGAGATATGAAGTACATATAGAATATATAGTAGTATGGACAAAAACCAAGATTGCAGGCAGTCAATCATCTTTGAGCTGATTGTGAAACTAATTGTGATGGACATGTATCCTAACATGTATAATTTGAGGAAGAAAAAAAATATGTCTACGATATATTTTGAAAAAACAAAATGTCTGCCAGTTGGCCATTTTGGATTTGACCATGAAACAAATCATCATGAACATGTATCTCAACATGTATAACGTTTGTACATGTATCACATTTGAACAGAAATCGACAAATCCTGTCCAAAGCATCACATTTGGATGCCAGTCGGCCATCTTTGATCTCATTATGGAACAAACTGGCATAAACATACATGTATATTCCTATATGTAGGATGTACATGTATATGCCAAACATGAATGAAAATGGTCTAAAAGCCTTGGAGATATAGTAGTGTGGTCAATAAACAAGATGGCCACCAGGTAACCTTCTTTAATCTGACTATGAAACAAACTGACATGGACATGTATTCCAATATGTATGATGCATGCGCCAAATATCTTTTTTTTTTATTCCTTTTTTTTTCATTTCAAGTAAACAAAAATTATATTTTAAACACATTGTATACATTACTATGGGAACCATATTGAACACAACATTGTGCGATGACTATATAGAGTTTTAATCTTAAAGACCATAAGCAAAACAAATTCTGTTGTCTGTTATAAAGTGAGTAATCAAAATAGTTGCGTAAAACACCACAGCAGAGCGAAAACTTGCATCTCACAATATTTATCGATGAATGATATCATGTTTATAGTTAGCACAAATTATATTGAATAAGTTCCTATTCATAATCTTTATTCACATGGATGTATTGGCTGTATGGAAACTTGGGGAAGTGCTTATATTGTAGAATGTCTAATAAATATATAAATAAGGTTACATAGGATAGTTACAGCAAAAAAAAAAAGAGTTTTAAAATAATAACAAGATATATGTAAAAATATTATAAAAAATTTGTAACTAGTATTTAAATGTCAATTAAATCTTTAATTTATTTATTATGCCAGGATCTTTGCTTGAGAGTATGTGAATTGTGTAATTTTAATTATGGTTGAAAGTGGTATCATATTTTTTGGGATGAAGTTTTCCCTGTGTGTTTTATATTTTGGGCAATTCAATAGAAAAGGTTTTTCATCTTTAATTGAATTTGTGTCACAGCTATTGCATTATCTTTTGTTTATAGGTATTAAATGTAGATACATGTATGTAATAGTGTACATACAGTATAGCTTAATTGGATGATTTACTATATGTTACTAAGTTGCAGTAAAACACATATCATAAATATATTCAGAGTAAAATAATTATTTGAGTTGATGTGTACACAGCAAGTGTATAATCCATCAAACATTTTGATGATATCACTAGTAGCTAAACGGTGAGTGGCTTTTGTATTGAGTAGCTTTTCACAGTGAGTAGGGCTTTGTCGCAGTAACTGGTCCTTTCACCAGAGTTGAGAATTAATGTTTTATGTGTGATTAACAACTGGTGTTATTCAGGCAATACCATCCTTAGGAGCTGTTAACTTGTCCTTATGTTTTGTGCAGTTGCTCTGGCAGGCATTCATAAATAAGACCATGCTCTGATATTGACCATTTATAGAACGGGCTTTGCATCACGCATTATTGTTATACTTGCTGTGACATACTGAAAGGAATGATCTTATAAAAAATGGTGTCGCAGAAGGAGAGTTAAATATTGTTTATGGAAATTAATAATCCCCAGAACAATTTTCCAATATAGATAAGAAAATTATAGTACGAAACAAATGTATAACTCATTCTTAGCAATGGAATAAAGAAATGTGTAATTTATGTATATTTATATTTTAATTATTACTAATGTGTTGCAATACAACAAATTAAAATTGCGACCAAGTAAAAGTCAGAAGAGTAAAAAACGAAAGCTAAAAAACAGTTGCCCATGTCAAGAGAGCCACAGAACCAAGCAATCTGTTAGCTGTTGCCATCCACAGCAGCGAAATGATTTTACACATAGAAATTGAGAATTGCAGGTGTAGAAATGAACACTAAAATCAATCTGAACATTGCTACAATCAAAGACGCATTAAATAGTAAGTCCATTTTGAGCTAGTGCTATTGTCAAATTTTGGAGAGTAGAGAACTATTTATACAGGAGGTGTTCCAGTAAGGAATTATTATAATTGTTTGGTTGGCATTTTAAAACATGTTCTAGATGCACCAAAAAACAACACTGCTAAGTTTCTAGGCATACAATGAACTTGAAACAAAAGAAAACATCTGATCCAAATGACCTGTGTCTTTGAAAATTGAATCTTATCGTCCTTATTGCCCAATCTTCTATGATTTTTTGGGGATATCATCAATTCAGCCCAGTGGTTGGATAGGTTATTTATTAGAGCTGCCCGGGAAACCAACATTTGGGATGTGAATCACTTTGGCGACGAAAAAACGGTGATAATAACCAAGAGGGGTGAGGGACTATTTACCTTGGCAATATCTTCGGTACTTGCAACCCAATCGATCTCAGCAAAATTCCGGGAAATGCAGTGACCAGTGAGGCCCAGAACAACACAAACCTTTATGAATGTTTATGAAGAACATGAATTAAATTTTTTTAACAGACACCTGGGGAACACATATTTTATCATGTAATTCACTAATTACTATTTCACCATGAGGGTTTTTTGTGAATTATTGGAGATGGCAATATCGGTAAGATTCCAAGGACCACAGCGATTACCCCCAAAATGCAATTTAAGGCAAATGAACACATAAAGCACACACAACTTTTTCAAATCATAGTACAACGTGAGGGAACTTGAATTACTCACTTTTGAATGTACTTTTGCATAAAGTCATTTTTTTTAATGCCCAATGTATGTGTACTTGCTGCACAAGTTACCCTAACATTTTTTTTTTCTTTTGCCATGAATGAGAAAACATCGCTCACAGAAAGTTAATTTACACATTAAAAATAACATATTGATTATATAATCCTCTTCTGTTATTCCACCATATTCACATACTGTATGTTACAGTGAATTTCATAATGCTATCTTATCTATATTCAAGGAGTGGGCATGGCTAGACAAGAATTATTAATCACAAACTATTTTATACTTAGCTACAAATAAAATAAGTGGATTGTAAATTTTTAACAAGTATTGTCATATCATAAATAACACAGTATAAGATTTAACCATAAATAGTTTTCATGTATGACTCATCTTTGTGTCAATATTGACATTACAAGTTGAGTGCAAAGCTCAATATCAACAAGAAAACAATCAGTTTATGCTTTTTTGTTTCACAGCAATATTAAATCAAATAAATAGAGGATATATCATGAGTGACCCAACAATATTTAAAGTGTTTTAAATGAAAATGAAAATACACACATTTAATAAATCCAATATTATCAGATCACAAATTTGATTTATTTATCCTATATACCCAAATCACAGCTTTCATAGCTAAAAACTAACACTGTTATCGTAATTTGTGCATGTATATCAAAGATACTATAGAGCAACCTGGCTCATTTGCATAAAATAGAATCATTCATGAATATCAATTACTGTTAGCTTATCTATTGCGAATATAAAATACATGTATACATATTTTTGGAGCTATCGCTATACAAAAAATGTACGTGTTTAAGTTTACAGTTACGCTTGCGTACTGTGCACGCTCTTCTAGAGAACGTAAAGGTCACATCATTTTTCGCCAAGAGCAGCATTACTGAAAGAAACAAACTTCCTTTAGAAAAGCAGCACGCCGACCTGCTAACACCATGGAGCACCCTTTTGAATAGGCCAGCCTCTTTTAATTCAGTGCACCCACACAAATTTGGCGCACCCACACAAATTCGAGGCTAGTTGTTCACTGCACCACCCTGCTCGGTGGGCTAGCCCTCGCTGCATCCTCGGCACATCACTAATGATTTTTGAGGCGTATTGTACTGTATTTACTGTTTCAGGGATGCATTGGTAACATAATTACAAATTTTAGATTCAATTCAAACCATGATTTTTTTTTTAAATTCATGGAAAATTGACACTTTATGTAATCAGTAGAAAACCTCTCACTGACCCCTGACCTCTGTGAGCATTCAAACTTTTTATGACCTGTAAAAATCTGTAACTGACACACATATGTGTTGTATTTTATTACATTTTATTGCTGGAAACTATTTTGAAGGATAACATGAATTATTATATGTGAAATACCAGATAATGTTAATTCTAATTTGACATATTTTTTAAAAATAATCATCAGCTTGACTGTCTTGTCTTTAACTCATAATATATTTATAAGTACCTGAATTTCACGTTTCAATTAATTTTTCTGAAATATTCAAATTATCAAACATTTGTCATTGTGTTCGGTATTTAAGACATTCTATGAAGAAATGTTCTTCATTCACTCTTATATTGAAACAAGTCATCATGTATGGTTTTAACTCTATATATTCAGTACATTATTAATTTCTTTCCCAGAAGTTTACATACATTTGTCAGATATTGTTTTATGTGTTTTATTTCACTGGGTAATTTTTGAGGTGCGACGACACTGACAAATTTGCATTATTTTCAGAATTTGTAGCAAAATGAGTGAGTGCTTTCTGCATGTAATACTTAGCACATGGCCAACAGCCCTCAACCAGAGTCGCGATAAAGTGTGCTTCTATTTCACCACTTAGATCACGGCTGAAAAACGCAAGAAAACAAAAGATTTTCATTGCAACAATTTATTTCTAACACCATGATCAGATACAAAGTATCCATTGAGTTATGCTCAACTGACACTACTGGCAGCACGTACCATCGTTGCAACATTTTGACAAAATGTAACATAATGTACTAAAATGTTATTTTACAAGTTTGATTGCTGTCAAAATGTCATCATTTGATTGGCTAATATGAATCTTTTCTCGGGCTGATTGGCCAGTGCTAAGTTGGTTAGATCACGCCACTCTGTGACTATGAGAATTAGAACTTGGGCCTACGGCGGACCGTGATCTTACTTACCGATATACGAAGTGGTAATGCAACTTTCACAAAACTTTCATGGCAACAATGTAAGTACATGTACCTGCAATATCTGACTGTCCCGAATACAATTTTCTCTCTAGCGTACAGTTTTAAAATCAGTAGACTTCGCATTGTTGAAATGAAACACATTCCAAAACAAGATGATAGCCTATAAACTGAAGGCAGTTTTTTTGTGTGTAAAAGTTGATATGTAGTGATATAATGATATAGGTTTTGACATGCTGTAGAATC